GATAGTTTACCTATCTTATAATATTGAAAACTTATGAAAATAGATATTTTTTAAGACTTAGATCGTTGTCACAACTTTTATGGGTCGTTAACGACCCTGTGGGAAGATATATATTTAATTGCTGTTTTTTATTTTTAGGTCTCGAAAATTGCTTACGACGAATGAGATAATAGACGAGCTAGAAAATTTAGACTCCGATGATGAGACACGAGGTGTTGATATTTTTATTGAGCCGCCAGGTAGTGGTAGGGTATCTGACGGTGATTCTGGCGATGAAGAAGATGTATATTTTCATCACTTATCTCGTCGACAGCTACTCGCACCTGCAAGTATTATTTTGAGACGTCCTTTAGCTGAGGATACCACTTCCAGCGAGGATGAGGAACTAGAAGATATCGCACCATCGTCTCTGGTGGTAAAAGCGGGTGGAAGGGCCCGTAGAATGGCCTGTGAAACGTCCCGTGGAATGGCCCAAGGAACGGCTCGAGGAACGGTTCGAGAAACAGCCCGTACAAGAGCCCGTGGAAGGTCCCGCGGTAGCAACCGCAAACGAGGGCGTGGCAGGTGGCGAGAAACGAATACTGAACACCAAGCGGGTGGGCGCACCTGGGTGAAAAAAGATCTTCCCCCGCTCAATCGTGAGTGGAACATACCGCTACCTAGGTCTGTAACAATTTTATGCGAAAATACTGACCCAGTCACGTTTTTTGAAATGTTTTTCAATCGAGACGTTATTGTATATTTAGTCAGACAAACAGTAATATATGCTGTTCAATCAGGAAATACAAAATTTTCTTTATCTGACAGAGAAATGTACTGCTTTATTGGTATTCTTATTTTGTCCGGTTATGCTCCGTTGCCGCGACGCCGCATGTACTGGGAGAGTAATAAAGATACTCACAATATTCTTGTCGCAAACAGTATGCGTCGAAATCGATTCGAAGAAATAATGCGTTATTTCCATGTAGCCAATAACTCAGAACTATCTGAAAATGACAAGATGGCAAAAGTACGCCCGCTTATTGATATGCTAAATGCTAAATTTCTACAGTATGCTCCTATTGAAAAAGAAATAAGTATTGATGAATCCATGGTTCCGTATTACGGTAGACATGGTTGTAAACAACATATCAGAGGGAAACCAATAAGGTTTGGGTTCAAAATGTGGATTGCTGCGACGAGATTGGGTTACTGTCTGATTGCTGATCCTTACCAAGGGCGCTCAGAGCGTGTCGATACAGGACTGGGACGTTATGTTATCAAGAAACTAATAACTAAAGTACAAGAGGAGTATCCCGACACAGTTTTCTCTGTCTACTGCGACAATTTTTTTACTGGACTGCCATTGGTTAGCGAGCTCAAAGAAAAAAACGTGTTCTTAACAGGGACGGTGCGGAATAACCGAATTGAAAACTGCCCACTAAAGGACATGAAAAAATGCCAAAAAGAAGAAAGAGGGTACTACGATTACCAATTGGATGAAACAAACGGGATATGCGCTGTTAGGTGGCACGATAATAGTGTTGTAACACTATTGTCTAGTGAACATGGGGTACATCCCATACAAAAGGCGAAAAGGTACTCAGCTGCCCTAAAATCAAGAATCGATATTCCGCAACCATACCTGATTTCTCAATACAATCAATATATGGGAGGTGTGGATCGACTGGACGCCAACGTGGGCGTCTATAGGATTGCAATGAGAGGCAAGAAGTGGTATACACCTATTATTTTTTGGCTTATTGACGTCGCGGTAAATAATGCCACACTTCTAGCTCGCCAGTACCGGAGTGACATCGACACTCTTGAGTTTCGAAGGAGCATTACCCGCGTATGGCTGCAGAACTATGGAAATGAAAAGCTTCAACCCGGACCCACACGAAAGATACAAACCACTGTACCTTATTCGGTGCGGAAACACAATTCGGAGCACATGATCGAAAAGGCTGTGAAGAGACTTCGATGTGCTTTCTGTAAAAATAAAACAGTTACAGCGTGTACTAAATGTGGCGTCAATTTGCATGCAAAATGTTTCTCTCTCTTTCGCTCTTAAGTTTTGTTAGTAAATAAAAAGTTGATTTACAATAATAGCATTTTATTCGGCATTAACATATTAGATCCAGGTAACAAAGACAATGACATGAGCTATATAATACTTGACTATATATTTGACCCAGGGGTCGTTATCGACCCATTAAAAAAAAAGGATCCCCCCACCACCCACCTCATATATTCTTTTGGATTCATCATAAGAACCCTTCAGGTACTCACATATCCAAAAATGAAAGAAATCGGAGACCAAAAATAGTTCTGGGCATATATGGGTTAAGGGATCCGACCAGTGTTACCGGTTCAGAAACAATTTTCCTTAATTTCTTGTGGCCTGTCTGGTGGAGAGACAGTGGAGATAGATAGTAATCAGAAATGTAATGAACGAGTGAAATATGAAATAGTGTGAACTTAGGGGTCCAAGCCCGAAATTCATAGTTCTTTTAAAATATGAAGAGATGACTTTCAAATTCATTGCTTTTCTAGTGTTTTTTATTTATTGGATAAAGGTGATAAAAATACTGTCTTCCGACAAAGTTTCTGTTTCTATTTAACGAAAACAAATTTATAAAAGGGTAGGTATTACAAATTACTTGATACACAAATATTTAACTATAGTTTATTGTTGCACCATTAGCTTGTTGTACAATTGCCTTGTGTTTTGTTACTCAAAGTATCTTTTCCTAAAAGTCGTATAATTTTTAGCCACTCCGCCCTGCGCGTTCGATCTTTAGGTATACTGGGAAACAAACAAAATGCCATTTTTAATAGTATTACGTATTAATAGTATTATAGTTACACTTTACGTTAAAATGTTACAATGAATAAACTTGAATTAAAATCACTTTTGACTACGAAGTCAAAAGTAACTTCAGAAAGGTTAACTCCCAATATTATGGGCAAATGAAAATTGATTTACTGGCAACATTGATGTTTAAAATAAATTTATTTCATTTTTATTTTTATTTACGACAATCTAAACATACAAAAGCAAACTTACCTGTGGAAAGTAACCTCAGTAGTTTTATGATCATTTCCGAAACGAGAATTGCAAATTTCAATTACATATTTCCACCATATTTTTATAAAAAAAGAAACCATTTTTTTTATACTTTTTTGTCATGTCTCGGTGACGTTGTACTCACTCGAATTCAAGATTGTGACTGATGTCACTGTTGCCTGTGGACAACAGTGCCGTGGGGCCGTTTGAAGGCGGAAATTGAGCATCTATTGTTTACAAGTATAATATCATTGACTTTTAACCATGATCAGCATAGTACGTTGTTCTATTATTTTTTTCCATCCTGTTATGGTCTATCCACACATATCCGGGCCGTGCCCGGGACGTGGACGGGCCGTGCTACGTCAGGGGCTCAAAAAAATATCGTTGCGTATATTTTATATGACCTCGTTCACACATGTCCGTGTCCGTGTGTGACGGGCCCGCAGTTCATACAAACTAGCACGCTCCGGTCACGTCACGGGCACGGCACTGATGTGTGTGTGATAGTCCTTAAGAGTACGAGACAGCTTCTTCTTTTTTTAAATGTTATGGCCCCATCGAAGTAATGTAGTTGAAGTATATTGAGTATTAACCTCTTTGGTTAAATGTAAATATTACTCAACCTTTTCTGTATTCAAAATATGACATTCACTTTGAATATGATAGTTGGTTTCTGGCAAATTTAACCCAAATTGAGTACAATGTACAACGCGTAATGGAAAACAGGAACTTATTTATATTTATATTTGAGGTCAGTATGTGATCAAACCACATGAATTGCAAGCGATACTCTACTATATAAATCGTATAAATTGCATAGAAGTAAAGTCAATGTGTAAAATTGTATTGCTACCAATGATCTTGTCGCCACTCATATGACTACAAGAATATGTTATTGTGCCACCCCTGAATAATTATCCTAAAAATTGAAAAAAAAACGTAAAAATAATAAATTAAAATAAAAAACGCAAAATGGTCAAAACTACGCGCACGTCGTCAAAAGCGTCCTTGAAAATAGAAACTTATAAGAAAGGACTACAACCAACTAAGGCAACCACTACACCTCACCCAATTTGCAAGAAAGACCTAAAAAGCCGTCGCAATACACCCGTCCACGTCGTCATTTTGGCTATGGAGGCATTGAATGGACGGAAGCAGGGAGTACCAATTGAGAAATTACGCACATTTATTGACAAAAATTTTGAAATACCCTGCAAGCGAAGTGATGTAACTAAAAAAATTAATACAACAATAATGTTCGCTGTTACTGCGGGGATTCTCGAAAAGCGCCACGGCTTATACTATCTTATATCACCAAAACATACTAGGTTAATTTTTGACGGTTAATTTACTAATTTAACATGTCTTCACAATACTAATAATATTGTTTATATTGAGATTGTCGTTAAATAATGTAGTACACGTAGTCCTTCTTTGCAAATAAACTTGTGTATTTGGTCATAGTGTTTTTTATTAGTTTTTGCGTTTGTAATGCTTGCGCAAACGATCCAATCATGTTTGGAACTAACACGACGGAAGCTTGGTATTCTTGCAGTTCACTGAGATAGAAAACCGTTGGTTTGCTCTCCTTATTTTATTAAAAGCGCATTAATACGTCTTTTTGAATTTGAATAATGGACTTAGGTGCTTTTGTAATCATCCTTTGATGACGTCGCCGTTCTTTTGGTTATGCCAAGTGAAAATCGGATTTCTTAAGCAACAGTGGTTTTATAAATTACATATCTCGAGACGTCTTCGTAAAAATTAGACGACTTCGGCCAAGAAATCAATTAATTATACATACCAATAAAGACACCTAGCGTATACCCAAAAAACTTAACATTGGAAAGTGTTTAATTTCAAAAGTTGCTGCATGTTGAAACTATCAGACCCTCAGTAAACTAAAAGTACATCCTTACTCAAACTCAATATGCAACTTTTCAACCAGGTTCTTGAGTGTGAAGAAATGGCTGCTTCGCAAGAAACATCAGATTGAGTTGGCCCGGAAGCGAGGTTGGAAAGGTTACTGGGTCTGCCTCAAAGGTACCACACTATTATTCTACCCATGCGACTCGCGTGAAGGGCGCTCTGTGGAGGCAGCGCCTAAGCACCTCATCATTGTGGATGGAGCCATTATGCAGCCCATACCCGAACACCCCAAACGTGATCACATATTCTGTCTGAGCACTGCGTTCGGCGATGCATATTTATTCCAAGCACCATGCCAAGTACGTATTTTTCTTTTTATTATCTTAATGTTGGTAATCGACACACAAACGAACATAAAATAGCTTCAATTTTTCGTAGGTTGAGCTCGAAAACTGGGTAAATAGTATACATAGTGCCTGCGCTGCAGCATTTGCTAGACACCGCGGCAAGACTGGGACACTCCATTTACTTCAGGAAGAAATTTATCGCCTCGAGAAAGCCATCGAATCCGTAAGTACAGTTGCAGAATGAAAACTCTAAAAGTGGTTTTAACAGAAAATTTGATGTAAGGTTAATATCATGCTAGGCAAATGAAATGTGCTGAAACATAAAGTGAACTCTCCTAGATTTATGCGCCGCTCTACTCTAGCTGCGCATTGCATCGGCCTGAACCAACAAAACCATTGTTTGACTGGCACGAATCTCCATCTTTGTAAACCAATCCTAGCTTTAATAACATTCGGCTCTATAATAGTTTAGCGTAAGGATCAATTTCGAATGCCTTAGAGTGGCGGTTCTCATTGCTCACATCAAGTGTACAACGTTGCGAGACGAAAAGCATTTCTCATTTATGTAGACAAATTTATTGCTCGTTCATACCAAGCTCGTCGAGAATATGTAAACTTCTTATTACCTCGCCATAAATTGATGTCGGCTGAGGATGCAGTTTAATGAAATTTAAAAAACATAGCTGAAAATAACGGTGATTCACAGTGGTAGCAATAAATTGCCTACACAATTTCAGACTTTACGCGTTATGATTAAACAGAAATATAGCCTACTTCTCTCTTTCCAAGATGCGAGCCATCACACCAAGTGTTAAAGGAACGAATTCAGATACTTGGTGAAAATATATTATTATAGGACAGACGTTCTATGACCCATCACCGGAAATTGTCTTCAAGAAAGACCCTCCATAAATTATTACGTGATGATAGGTGTTTTTTCAGTAATTGTAAAGAGTGTTTGGTGCCGGATATGAGTAAACTGCTGGGTATTAAAAAGTGAATGAAAAAGATATTACTTTTATTATAGTGTCTAAAATGATGATGTATATTTTTTTAAAGATAATCGCAAAATACAAATAATAATCCGTTAAATACATATGCTACAAATAGACAACAAATGAAATGAAATTTATGCAAGGAGAATGCGATGTGGTAGGGAGGGAAACAATGAAGCAGCGGGGTGTGAGAGACGGGAGTGCGGTTCGAAGCGTTACTCTTGTAAATCTCGCCAATTTCTGACCCGCACCGACTGACCACAATACGCATCAAAGCCTTTGTGGCAGTTTCCCACTACTACATGCTCACTGGTCACCACATGCAAATATGCGCTCTGATTCGTAGCAGCTGCGTATTTGCGATTAACTGTAACTGTGAATAAAGGAAATGGACATTATATGTATATCACATTTAATCATTCATGTCATTCTATGTATCACGTGTAATAATAAAATGATTCAATAAACATCATTGCGTCGGCTAAATTTTAAAATCTCGTTACTCCCTATTTGGACGAAATCCCTTTTTTACTCTTCAAGTGCAATATCGGGCAATTAAAGCTTAAAATTTAATGTGTAGACCTTTTTTAGTTATAGAATAAAGGTACAATCATGGATAGTCATATAATTATTTGTAGTAGGTAATTCTATTTTGTTGTGCCTACTTAAAAGTTCACATCAATGGCGGTTACGAGGTTTACGAATTTAACCGACGATTGGCTTTTTCACTACATGTATATTATGTAGGGTTGGAGATTTAGTTATCGAGATAAACGAACCTTTCTAATTTAGGGATTTACATTCAAAATGTAAAATCCTTACGGAAAATGTTCACACTAGACAACGTAATTAAGGGCCAGACACAAGGCAGCGAGTTGGGATGGGAACAATGTATTTTATCAGCGCGATAGTTATCGTCAGGTGAGACGCGCTTATTAATATTCATAGCACACGTCATCCCTGCTGTAAGTTCAGGACCGCGTATGCTATTAAAATTACATTACACGCTCTATGCTCTATACTTTTACTAGTAAAACTGTTTTCAGCGCTAACTTTTAACAATTTCTCTAAGCGTGTAGACGGTAATGTAACGCGTGACACTTGCTACATTAGATTGAGGTATTTAATGAGTCATAATTAACAAAAAGGAGCCATATTTGAAGTAATTTGATTAATGCAGTGAATAATATCATCATAACAGTATTATATACTGCAATAATAATGTTTAGCGAAATGTTTGGACATCAGCCAAATACGATCACGTAGTTCACAAATAGTTTATTTTTCGAATCGTGCTTAGCTATGAATCGGATGTACTACCCATACAACGTGATAATAAATAATACGTCATAAATACCGAATTGCTGACTTGAAATAAAAGAAAGTAATGTGCTGAATTCTGATTTACACGTATCGCAAACACTCTTAATATATATATAATATGTATATATAACAAGTACATTTACATCAAACGTTTTTTATTAACTTAGGAGATTGCTTCAAACTTAGTCTAAAATTGACTATTTCATAACTGGGCATAAGCACGGTTCACCTTCTCGACCAATCATCTTCCAGAGGTTTACGAATCGCTTTTAATGGTCGGAGAACACGAGTGCATAAGTTTTAATTTCACAGGATCACAAGTTGAAGCACATGGCTGACCTTCAGTCGTCAGTGGTCTCTGACCCGGAAACGCGTGCGCAACTTGCAGTTCAAATGTTGCAGTGGGAAGAGAACCTCGAGCGGTTGCATTGCGAACAGTTCCGCTTGCGTTGCTATATGGCCAGTTTACAGAGTGGCGAGTTGCCTAATCCCAAGGTGAGTCTAACCATAATCTTAGTTGTATGTATTTAATTTTAAATAAAATGCAACAACCACGGAAAATCCACCCGTAGTGCAAACTGTAGAACTAAATTTTTGCTTATTCTGCTATATATCACTGCTCTGGAATACGAGACACCAATATAAAATCCATTTGATTAATTAATTTCAATATTAATCGATCCTATGTGACAGCTTTGTGTTGTACCTGTGTCGGTAAAAAAAATACTTTTATGTGATACAAAAACGCAAATAGAATCCCAAAGAAGTCGAAATGTCAAGGGATTTCACCAGTTGACAAAGAAACGTATTGACAGCGAACGGATTTGTGGTTTCATGTATTTATGTATATCGCTAGTATGAGGCAACGCAAACTGGTGACCCTTGACGACCATTCGATAATAAGACAGAAATGAAAGTGAGAGTCGGGCCTCACAGCCCTGGCAGAGAAAGGGAATTTGTTGGCACCGTTGTCAAATTGATAGTTCCGCCAACCGAACGGCATGCCGGTCAGTGCAGAATCTGTTACACCATGACCCTTGTCACTGTACAACAAATTACTTTGTACATTCAGGATGTAGTCATCAAGAATCCCATAACTCGTAAATCTTATTCGTATTACTATATTAGATGCTGTTCTTTGAACTTAGTCGAATAAGATACTTTTTTTGGGTGAAAGTGCAGTAGTTTTGTTACTCATAGCAATTTTTAATTAAGGGGTTTTGTTGCAGTCGTTGCTAACTCACGTATCACGTGGCACAAAGAGCACGCTGAATAAGTTAGGCGTCTTCACGGTATCTTCATTCCATGCGTTTATTTGTGCTCGATCGCCTTCATTACTGAACAACTTACTCGCTGGAAGAGGCGCTACCAAACGAAGGGCACCAAATTTATCTCGATCCAACTCGGGTTCAAGCAGGCGATCCATGCAGGTTGGTATTAAAAAAAAAGACGATTGATCAATTTTTTGTTTATAGATTTGACGTAGATTTTTAAATAATGTAAAAAATATGTCCTTCCTGTAAGACGTTTTATACTACTTTACTTTTACTTATAACAACAAGCAATTACGCACTGTCGTTAATAAGCTATTTCTAGCCGTAAGAGCATTTATGACGACAGATAGAAATTATACGCCGTCACACCAAAGTTAACGCTATCGGGGACTACGCCTCGAATGCTCTCCGTAACTAATGGACCTTTCTATCGACCATTTATCATCCTCCCCCATTAACAGCAATCTTTTATAACGCTCACATACGACTAACGCACGTAGACTTGTTTTTAACTTCGTTATTTTCGACGATGTTAATAAAGTGAGGCATGTTTATTTTTTCCGTTTGAACCTGGCGTTCGAAAACGACGTTATTTATATAAAAATAACAGGAATAAAATCGAGTACGTATCTAACATTACGTACTACTCTGAGCTATTTGGAAGCAAACCAATTTCGAAAAATCTATTTCGTTTCAACCGTCCAATAATATTCCGCGTGTGAAGTATCAAAGTCGCAAGTCCCACTGGACCTTTGGAAAATGTCATAGCATCGAGCTAGCATCGGTGTTCCCGACGATATGAAAAATGTAAATGTCACCACAAACGTATTTGATAATGTACGAAAATTAATAATATTGAAATACCCTCACAGTCGTAATATTTCAGTGTTTTCATCTAGTTTCATTTCATTTGTTTTCGGAGGGTTGAAAAATGGACTACATATACGGATATTGGAATTCTCGTAATTGCCTTTAATGCAAATGAAGCAGTAGGATTACGCAACTGGAGTGGATTTGAAAACGTCGGATTGGCGTGCACCCAAACTTGACGAGTCTTTAATACACATTCCGTCACGAAAAAAGACTATTACTCTACCCGTTTGCCTTGATTGCCTATCATTAAGCACTCGCCCTTGCTCCTTTAACAAATTGCAGCTAATTGTTATTAACAGTTTAGACTGACTTTTCCTTATTCCATCGTATTAGTTAAAAGGGAGTTTACCAGTAAATAAGTAACTAACTTTTACAAATTTAAGTAGGTTTTCGGCTTTCTGTCTATTATCATTAGGTTTGAACATCATTAATAAAGGTGTTAAATGATTTTGCCTTTATATATAGGAGAAATGAAACAAAAAAATAGTATAAAGTAAAATGAATGATATTTATGTATATAGATTTGTCACAGATGGCGCTACCTAAAAACACCAAAAACAAAGATCTGCAACAAGCACATAGAAACATTCGTAAGATCCGCTGGTTCGTTCCGTGGTTTGACACGGTGTGCTGGAAGACGTTGGTTTGAATCCAGCCGGATCGAAGGAAATTTTTCTTAGTGTTCAATCTTTGTATTAATAATTTAAAAAAATAGATTTGGAAAATAGCATTTATTAATTCAAAATATGCACCCATTGTCAATCTTCTTGTTCTCTTGTAACACTTCTATCATCTTACTGGAAGCTCATTTATTATATGCGGTAAAATAGAGGAAACCGGGAATCCACAATGTTTTTGAAATCATTTTGGGGTGCTACGCGGGAAGTTAATTGCTTTTCTCGTAGATAATTATCTAAATTCACCAACATCGCGCAAATTGGTAGTCCATAGAGGACAAGTCAAGTGAGTGAAGGGTGGTAAAGAGATTTAATCTGCAACTCCTATAAGAGAAGGAAATGTGTTCGGCAGTATACACTCTGGTGCTGTAGCGTAAAAGTAACGATGACGATTGGTTAACTTACCTTCGCTGTTCCTCGCAACTCTTGTCATCATCGTCCAATTTTCTTCAACATCATAATTATACCAAATATAAGGGAGCTATGGTGGATTGCTCCTGGACTGGATCACCAAACACTTACCAATAATTTTAAGCGGATAAGTTTCTTTTTTGATCGGTTTGTGTCATAAAAAATTCATTTTTCATCACATGTAATGCTACGGTCTAATACTCATTTATATTTGTGTCGATTCTTTAATTCAGTGTAGGTTACCGTAGGAACCTTGGTTCTACGTGTCTTACTCATTGTTGTTCGGGACAATTCGTGAGGTACCTGTATTTCTAGTTTTTTCTTTATGTTACCGATTTTGCGCAAATGGGTCTGTATTACGGATACAGTTACATCAAATCAGGCATGGTTTGTGTGGTGGATCTGCTCTTCTGCTATTATAGCTTGTCATTATTTACATGCTAAAATGTCCACTGCGGATTCTGACATACCAAAAACTCACACTCCATTCGTTAATTGTATCCATTCTGTACACCTCGTAAAGGTTACGTGTCGTTTGCGCTGCTATAGTGCCACGTAGGATCAAGTACTCAAAAATTTCATGAATCTGATTATCCGTGTATGTTTTCATAGGGTATGCAAAATTAACCAAAACGAAAACAAACGAATAACATCAATGTTTTGAATGTAAACACTTGAGATTATATTTGAAAAAAGTTTCTAAACTGAATCGACCACTAAAACACTTATTAAAAAACATATTTTGAGTTCAAATTGTCCAAAACATTAGAACTGCAATTTCATACTTTATTTCCTAATACACTCTTCATTGTTCAAATGAGTCAGGTTACACTTATTTGTATTTTCGAATACGTCTGTGAGATTAAACTCGTAGATCCAATTTTAAATCCATAGAGAGGAATTTACATCGCAAAAACGGAATCGCTAATTTCTTGGAGCGGCAAATTTATTAACTCGTCCCCGAATATCAGTAAGCAATATACTAAGTTCGATAATGGTTATAATGCAACAAAACAAAACTTGGGTGCTGCTCATTTGGCCGCGGGCTGTTCGGAGGAACTGTCGACCGAGTCAAAGCGTAGCTGGCACGCCTAAGCAAATTGTATGTCAGCTTTTAGGGTTTCCGCTCCCAGAGGACCCTATTCAACTCGTCACTGCGTCCGTTCGACCGTTTATCAATTCCGTAGCTCTAATCCGATGTTATTATATAGACACTTTTGATAGGACCATCGTGCGCGATACGGCAATACCCAAAAGTATTTTTAGCATTATTGAATTATTGTGACTACCTACATCAAAAAATATTTTTACTCTAAGGCGCGTGGGAAGACATTAGATTATACATCTTTTACTTACTTGAAAAATCTTAATAATAAGGTAATTTATAAAAATAAAATAATTTTATTTTTAACATCCCTGTGTATCTCGAGCACCTGATCTAGGTGCTCGAGACAAGTTGACTTTTCGTCAATAAATAATAGTTAATTAAATCCAAATCTGCTTAAAGTAACTCGTGACTCTTAGATTGTTTCTTAGAAGTAAACTATCAACTGACAGTCTCAGAGAATAAGGGTACAGGTGACGTCGTAATTCCTTGAAGCCGGGATATCCTCGCAACAAGACAAAAGACAAGTTAATTTTGAAAGTTTGTAGCCGAGAGTGCCTTTGTGGAGCTAACTGCAATTATTATATCGCGGTTGGGTAAGATTTCGCCAGTAATTAGTCGTGTAATACAGATGTCCCGGGATGAAGGTGAAGCGGCAGTGAGGGTATCTCTTCCCGAAGGTACGACGGCAACGGTGGGTGTGCGTGAAGGCATGTCTGTGGAAGAATTTCTGGCAGCAGCTTGTGCACGGCGCACGCTTAACTCACTCGAGCACTTTGTCAGAGTGAAGAAACGACGCGACATGGAAGACCACAACTATTTCGTACCGCCTCGCACCGATCTCATAGAAACTTACGTGAGTACGCTCACCTTCTTTAATGTGACAGTCTAGTTTCGCCACGTTTCCCCACAACTTCTGTCAACATAGAATAAGATCATATACAATTTAACTTGGTAGTACGATTGAATTTTATTGTCTTTTATATTCTTTGTTTCGAAAAAAAATATTTACTTTTATGTAAACTTCATCTTACAGAGTTCATTATTTGTACTTCAATTGATATATTTCTTATTAACAATTTAGTGTGACTGTAAATTCTATTTTACATTATTTAAACAATGTGATTGTATCTTTCAAATGATACCAAACAAAATTTCATAAAAGATTTCAAAATGTAGTTTATGATAGATGGCCATCTAGCAGTAGTGTGCTTTTATGCTTACTCGACTCAATCTAAGAAGGTCTTTAGTGCATTGTTGTGCTTATAAACAGGGACAGTAATTAAGTAAATGACGCTCCCATATCTCCGGTACAATTCCCAACGGAACGATTTATTTAAAAAACTTACAAAATTTACATTTTCACGAGAATCCGGCGAACGATGCTCTGCGTTCCTTGAGACTGCTTGTTAAATTATATAAAAACAACGTGACACGACAGGCGCGGGCTTATTTTTAATTAAATCGTTTCACTGCGACACATGAATACAACTTAGTGAATACATATAATGTATTTATTATTAAAAAAATGTTTTGTGTCCAGGCCGCATGTGAGTAGGGTCTGACAGCACGTACGTATATTCCGTCACCGATTTTATTCTACCTACTGTCCGGTGTATGGGGATATCAAAAAGTTGTCACACTCGCATTGTCTTGATATTGAACTACTATCTAGAAGTTAAATACTCTTTTGGTATTTAGTGTAACTTTGAGTACCACAATTAATTTTGCACGCATTGTTTGCACTGTGATATTTTCTAAATATATAAAATGCTAAAAGATGTGAGGATGGGTTAAATATTTTTGCATAGCGTACGATTAATGTTGATTAGGGTCAGACAGAATAGGCTTCTATGCACGCATGGATATTTTAAAGTTTAACCCTTCGGACTTGGTACATACGCATTGAATAAATAATTTATGTTTGAAAGTGAACAAATTCGAATAATTCAGGATAATGTAATGTAAAGGCTTATTAACCCAAAGACGTCTATAGTTAATTAGTTTTTTGGTGCAGGCGCTAAGTTTTGTTACGAAACATTCTACTAAAAAGATACAAGTGTATTAAATTTCGGGTTAGTGAGTGTGACAACCACAAAATCACGATTATATGATATACGAGTATGTTATAATCATGACTATATCTCGCATTCACATTTCTCTCCACTGTCGCTGTCTGCCATCTTTATAGCACGTTTAAAGAAGTTGAAAAAGATTCTCATTCGCGACTTATACGAACTTTTGCTGGATTTTACAGAATGTTCTTTTAAAAACGTACCCGTCGTATTCAAAGTAATCTCTGTTTAAAAAGTTTAAGTATTGTGCGTGCTAGTATTCTCATGGATTGGAATAATTTTGTACAGTTGCACACACATGAGGTGGTGGAAGTGTGCGCAAAGATCCTGTACCAAGTGGAACTACAACGAACAACGCTAGAACAAATGTGGGGCTTTAGTGTGGAAGCCGAGCTCATCGAAAACGCGGAGCGACAGGACGAGCTGTGCTGCTACGTCAGTCGCGTCGAGGATAAAAGTCTTGGCATGCAAAACGGTACGTACCTGAGGAAAACGTAGCCATTGTTTTGAAACCGATACACCTAATTTGGTGGTGGTATATTGAAAAAACTGCGTACTGTTTTTTTTTCGTTTAATCCTATTGTTTGTTTTTTCTCATTATTCCTCTTCAAAAAGGTAAAATAAATATTCCGAATACAACTGTTTTCTGTGCCAGGCATAATCAAAGGCGACGAGATAATGGTGATCAACGGAGCGATCGTATCCGACCTAGATATGATGTACTTGGAGAGCGTGTTGCAAGAGGAGCTTGCGCTTGTCATGATGATGAGGTATTTTCTCGTTTTACTTTTTTGATTTTCATGTGAATGCAAATCCGCCGATCGTCAACCGGGCTAACAGCTGCTCGTTAATCAAACGACATTCACTCGTTGAATTCATTTACATAGAATTAGAATATTCACTGCAGCAGAAGTTAAAATCTGAATAAAAGCCTTGCTCTTTGTGTGCTATAAACGAATGAGGGTAAGTAGGAATAAAATAGGAAGCCGGGTAGCAGCGTAGCACTTAATAAAACGGAAGTTAAAGCGCGCTGGTGTGCCGGAGCGGGGTGGAAAGTCTGTTCATCGGTGTTTCCCGCCCTTATACACCTGACCTTTCGCGACCGCGACAAGCTTACTGAAGCGCCGCAATTGTGCGGTCGGCGCGACCTACATACTCCCTCGCTCTGCAGCCCTGAGCCGCCGGCCCTCGTTCCAGTCTCGACCATTATGAACGAGGGCCGCAATTGAGCCTCTCGACGTTGTCGCGCGTGAATTAATGTTCTCCAACAAACGTCATTTCAAAAGCTCTTACGACATGATATCTTTGTTGTGAGTTTATCACGCCGTTCACATAAAGCCGTCTTTATTCTCCTGTTGCGTGAATTGTGCAATTAGTCATAAAGTTGTTGAAAATAAATTAAGTAGGGAACAATGATTCCAAGTTATTTCCCCCTTTCCTGAATGCAAAGATAACAAACTTTCTATTTTAGTCTGTTTATAGCGAAGGCAAACAAACCATAACATATTTTATTCAGTGCTTTGTGAAAGGAAATTGCTTTCGTGTGTTAGATTTTTCCTCTGCAAATACAATAATGTTGTCTTGTATCACATAAACGAAATTTGCTAATTTTGTTTCACTGGGCTTGTTGACTGCTCGAACAATTCGTCATTGACGTTTTAACACATTTATTCTCACTGAAGATTGATTATATAGATTGCAAATTGTGAAATAGGCAGCAACTTGTAGCAGATGAGCAATTAGGACCTTGTGGTAGGTCATCGCGCACGGAGCCACCGGAGCTGAGCGGCGTGATGCGCGCGGCCACAGACGACATAATCGATTCACTCGTGTGCCCGCCACCACCGACCGACCCGCCAGTCATCTCCGACGACATGATATCCGGCCTCATCGTGCCAGCGCCTGCTTGGAGTGAGTTGATTGCTTATAATATCTTAAACTGAATTCTTGAAGAGCAATTCTCAAACATTCATCTTGAAAAACGTATGTCTCAAACTGCCTTCGCACCTAAGTTCATTACAATAACATTGAATGCAATTAAAAACACTTTCAAAAACACAATCACTTTCCTTACACAATGTAAACAAACAGGAGCCATATCTCAGTGAATTATAATCTTCTAAAAATTTTCATAATCACATTTTAAAGAAGTATCGGGTAGCTTATGATAATATTCTTAACGGAAAATACAACACCAAACATAATACTGAGAAATTTCGTGGAGTTTATTGTAAATTTTGCAATCTTCGTGCTTACTTTTCCGTTGTTGCTCTCGGTAAATTTAAATTCGAACAAACACAAACAATAACTTACTTTGTTAGTTTTTACAGCAACTTCAATTTCGACATGTATTTTCTCTTAAGTATGCATATAAGTTCGACTAAAACAATGTTGAATATTTTATTGAATGTTGATATTTCACGGTATTGATGTTTCACCGCCATGATTTTAATGAAATTACTCCACTAGTTCGGAATTACAATTAATAATACAAAGATCGAACACTTAGAAAAATCCTCGATTCGATCCGGCCTGGATCGTCTTCTGGCAAACGTCTTCTGGCAAACCGTGTCAGACGCTATGTGAAGAAATACTTTCACATATTTCTCATATATGGCGCTACGGTCGTTGAAAACCAAAAACAAAGATCCGACAAACAAGTACCTAGAGGAATTCGTGAGGTCCGCTGTTTCGTTCCGTTGCTTAGTTGGCATAGCGTCTAGGACGATTTGCTAGACAAAATATTATTTGCGAGACATCGGTTCGAATCCGGCTGCGTCGAAGGACTTTTTTCTAAGTGTTCGATCTTTGTATTATTAATTATAATAAAACAATGTTCATCACAAAAAAAATCAGAAGTTTAGTATCATCAGAATCATTGTGAACAACTCATAAGGTGTGTTCATAAGAGCTTTCAGCTAAATTGACATCATCATTCATTTTCGTTTCGCGACGACCGCTTATCAAGCAACTCTTCAATCATGCACCACATTACTTGGCATCGTTCCCTATCCATCCCGAATCTTCATTGAGTTTCAATTGTGGCTGTGAGTCAGTAATATTTTGTGCATCACATTACGAAATAATGGACTTCGCTGTTTGTAGATTGCCAATCCTCTTACTACTGTTAATAAAAATCGTACTACGTATGCTTGACTTTTCAAGTTACGCATAACTTTAATGGTTCACGCAAACTCTTCCAAAATACCTATCGCAATCATAGTGTCACATAAGCACCATAACTTTGTTAATGAAAGGATCCCGCGTTTCTTTATTGAACGCATTGATTATCTTCGCTTATATCCTGTGCGGTTTTTCATTATTTAACTCAATACCACTCTTTCCGATTTCATATTTATTTATATGTAGAGGCTGACAAATTTCAAAAGATTTTGATAATTATGTCTCAGAATTGTATAAAGCTAACCTTCCACTCACAACTAGAACATTTACGTTAAAACTCAATTCTAACTCCACCTTTTGGGAGAGAAAAAGTGACTTATTTTTAAATTTACCCTTGAACTCGCGAGCCACTGTTATATTTTCTGCAGCCTCTAATTCACAAAAATAATTTAAGAAGAGAAGTTAAGTTAGGTTAAAAAATTTGCGCCGAAAAAGTCACGGAGAGTTTTCCTTATCATATAAATAAGCAGTAATTCAAGAGTTAAAGCAACGTTTTCTTTGTCTCGTTTTCATTTGCCGCAATAATACTACACTGGCCCTTATTTAGAACCACCAATACCAAATTTTTCGGCTATGATTTATTTCCGGGTGCGGCTTCGTGTAACACAAGAGGCAATTACGTCGACATATTGACACGGCTCGAAGTTGTTGTTTTATGACAGCCATATTGGAGCGCTGATGCGGTGCGGTTGTCTGCTCCAACAAAAGTATCGTAAAGAACCACAAACACGTTATTTATTATGACATTTTCGTCTAACGAGGCTTCTGTTTTGCCCTTTTCTAACGATGCGTATTCAATGCGTGAAACGAAAAAAGCCCCCATTTTGTTCCTTTGATTCCGATTTCTTTTATACTAGTGCTACGTATATCATATTTCATTCCGCTTTTCCTATTCACAACACGCAAATTTCCTCGACGTTTTAAGGTTTATTGTTTCACTGTTAATTGTTTATTTAAAGTAAGCTCACGCCCAACATATAGTGGAGATTTTCACGTGCCGTTCCAATTACCTACTCAAGTGGTTACTGTACATTGTTTTATATGAGAGCCTTTGTAAGCTTTAGTGAAAATGTTTGACTTGAAAAGGGAAAAACTAGCAATTGTAGAACGTAGCGGAACTAATTTTAAAACAGAAACACTCTTTGCAACTTCCGAATAAAAGGTCGTGACCTAACCCGGGGCTATTTGTCAGTCCCCCAGAGCTCCGTGTTGTCATGCCGCCACCAAAAGTCATTGGCTTACTATAAGTTTCTTGTAGCGGCGAGTTGTTCTCCATGAATGTCCACTCTACTTTAAGCTCTACATGAAACTCCTTCGAATATTGTAATTTGTTCAGATGATATTGAAAGGCCTGCACCTCTTTGATAGCGAACCTATTGAAAATATTCGTTTTCGAATTACTTTATGTATGCAAATATCGTACGTATTATAGAGCTATTGATGTTTATGAAAACGCGAGCGGGAATATTGATAAATATAAGCGCCGTATTGTGAGTGAAATTCTTTTGAATATATTATGAGCGTAATGTAATATACAAAATAGCTGTAGTTAACCAAACCGAAACAAAGACAATAACAGGAGGTTAATTAAATATTTGTTGAAAATCTTCGTTTACGTAAATCATCTTTTACACAGGTAAAGAATTGTATAGTCCAGAGAACGACACGCACGGTGACCTCAACACGGGCCCGCCCAAAGTTAGCTCTCGGACTAACTCCTTTGAGATTGAGAATCTACTAAAGGTACGTATCTGTGCGATATATGTAATGTCCTACCTCAACCTACCAACTAAATTATATATGTCGACCTAATTCCCGATTCAATTATCTTGCTCTTAGAAACCATTCCCCGTTTTATTTCGTTACGGTGCCCGCATGGTAATGTCCTTCTCTGAAATATAATCGTCCTTGGAAATCAAATGGGATACAATTTAATACCGTACCCTGCAGACCTGTCCCACGTTTGTATCTGATCCCACCTTTAAGCGGCACTCGCTAAGCAAAGCACGTTTCCAAAACCAATCAACGCACTGTTGCAAGCTCAGTGTCTGACCTATTTCAGCAAACCCTGTACTGCAAATGAGCCAATATGACGTTTTATCGTTCTCGTAAATATTACTGAAACAGGGTCATCATCGTTCCTACTGCGCATCGCGCTTTAATTCCATTATTGATACAAATTGTGCTCGTATTTTGTAATGTTGTTGGAAATTGAAATTTACGACGATTTACTAATGTGACTCGCGGCCATTAATTGACTTTATATTCGATCCGAATTGCGTATTCGTTGATGATGTTGTCTTATTACTTTCATAACAACATATACTTGAAAACTGTCGAAACTCAAAAATTTGTTAAGCTGATATGGGTTAGACACGAGCGAAGACTACTTATGCATGGGGTGAAATGTGGAGTGGTTACGGCATGGTTTAGTTGTCGTCTTGTTCTTCAAATTATGATGTGCGGAGATGGTTAATCGGGAATTGGGGACAAATGTAGAAGTGTGGGGGTGTGGGTGTGCGGCAGAGCGCGGAGCAAGTAACGGGATGGTGCCGGTCGCCGACGGAGACAAGGCGTGGTAGCCCAACGGGCAGCGTGGCCAGCGCCGCAGCTGGCACGCCCTCGCGACACCTTTCTGATGCTGACAAATTGAGGAAGGTGCTGCTCGAGCTCGTCGACACCGAGCGCGCTTATGTTAAGGTAAAGATATACTAACTCAGTAAAATTACATATTAATATTTAAATAGTAGTAGTTTCTGTTTCCAAGACCTATTGTTCTTTAAAAATATCAAAATAGAAGTTTGCTGGGTAAAAATGGGGTAAATAGATTTTTCATGATATTTTAACTATCCTTATGTACCTAATAATAACGCCAGAATAACTTGAAACGAAGACACTATAAAAGTATTCAAAGAACGCTCAACAACATTGAGTTTTAAAGTATCTATCTTATATTCCACTTAAGTAGTTACAGCTTAAGTTTCTATTAGCTACTATGGAAGCTGTTCCCAATCAAGAAGTTTGCGATACTTTTACGTCTAGTTAAGTGATAACTTGCAAACTGATATAACTTAAGCTGCCTCTATCAAGATACTCTCGTAGTACGTAATATGTACATATGTAAACCAAGTTAATTACTTCCTCAAGAGCACTTCGTCATAATTTAAAATAAGTTTATGCGTACATAAAAAATCTTTTAGGAATGTACCCAAAATATTTAATAAAATATTTTTAATGCAGATACAATATGGAAGTTAGAAGAGATTCACAATTTGGATTTTTTTTTAAATCATTAAAATACGTCGCAGTACGTCTAGCTCATCGTCGTTGTATTTATGTCTTCGATTAAATTCATACTCAATTTAATCTTTTAATTGGAGTGTTATAGCTAAGTCGCTGTCTGTTTCATAATACTTTTCAAGAGTATAGAATTACGACTCAATAATTACAATGCCGCTTATTTATTTAACAGAGATGGATGGTACCCGAATGTGTCCTTGCCGTGGCTATATAAAATATTTAGCTCCACCTGAAAGTATTTCTTTGATTATAAATTAACAAAGACTTGTTATTTGCAGCACCTCAATAACTTATTAGAGAACTACTTGGAGCCGCTGAAGAAGGAAACTTTTTTATCCAACGCCGAGATCAACGCTCTGTTCGGAAACATTCAGGAGATAGTGACTTTTCAGAGGCAGTTCTTGCAAAACTTAGAGGAAGCGCTCGAGGCCGAGCCTAACTTCCATCACTTTGAATTTTCAAATCAATTTAAGGTTAGCAACGATTAAATTTGATAACTTTCAGAATAAACTCGAACGCTGTTTCTGTATACTGACTAACACTGTATTTTGTTTATTTCAGAATGTACTTTTTGCAGTCGGGAATGCTTTCCTCTATTATGTCAATCATTTTAAATTGTACAGTTCGTTCTGCGCCAGCCATAGTAAAGCACAGAAAGTTTTACATCCGAGTGAGTTTTATTTCCCTTTCCCTTCTGACAGGGACTTCAATCGTTTTGAAATATAATATTTGTGACGCATTTGAACTAAAATATTGACTTCACTATTCGTCTACAGATGAAGGTAATCAAGCTCTGCAAGAGTTTTTGGCTGCTAGAAATCCAAAGCAACAGCACTCATCGACATTGGAGTCGTACTTAATCAAACCGATTCAAAGGATATTAAAGTATCCACTGTTGCTACAGCAATTAAGAAATTTGACTGATGTTAATTCGGAGGAACATCTTCACTTAGTAGGTGAGAGTCATTGTCTTCAATCAAAGCCAATTTAACTCATTAAGCGATGCGATAAATCTACAAGAAATAACTTATGCAAATAATTATATTACAGAGGCTCTCAAAGGAATGGAAAAGGTTGCCGAGCACATCAATGAGATGCAACGAATACATGAAGAATATGGTGCTATATTTGATCACTTGTTTAGACAACATCAAAAGTCTTGTAAACAACCTATAGATCTAAGCCCTGGTCAGTACTATCTATAAGTCAAAGGCTTTTAGGATCAAACAGTAAATTGGAGTCTACATAGATTAGAGGAATCCGACGCGGGTGTCATTAATTATGGCACTTAACATGAGACATGCAAATCACTGGATCCCAAACACAGTCGTAAATTACTAGCAGTCTTACAAAACGTTTGCACTTATTTAGTTTCCCAGTCTCAAATTAATTCTCCTTAACCTTTTCAGGTGATTTGTTATACTACGGCGGAGTAGAATGGTTAAATATTTCAGACTTTTTAGGAAAAATAAAAAAGGGATTGGAATTACACGCAATGTGTTTTGTATTTAAGTCAGCTGTTGTCTTCCTCTGCAAAGAAAGACTGAGACAGAAGAAAAAGCTTATGGTAAGTGTTTCAAACAGACCTACTTATAAATAGGTATAAAATCTGAAGTTCCACTTTGTCCAAGATTACAAAATAAACAAATTCTTCCTCGTTCAACAAGTCCCTTTTTATTCCTATTTAAGTAATAATTATATCGAGAAACTTTTCACAGCTTGACAAATTTCCCTGTGTGTATACACTCGAATCACCTCTATAAATTGTCTTACTAGACTATTTACATCAAAGTCTCTAGCGCATGTCTACACTACCGCGATGTTATGAATCAGATATCTAGTTTCCATACGAGCGATCAAAGCTGAAACTTACAAAGCCCGTCGACCCTACTTCCAAGTCGTCTACTATATAAGTATACGTAATATCTGATTCGAAAACATGACATAGTTTTGTTTACCTTACGTTTACCTTAGTTCAGCTTCATTGCAGTTCGAACAACAAGATATTTGAATGCATACTTGTAGATATTTACAGCAATGTATTTGTTATAAGAAAGTAAACCCATTGATAATTAGATGCGAGTATTGCAGTTCTTTTTAATGATATTGATATATCATGCTTTACAGTTTAATAATTTTAGTAAAAATAGGCCTCCTTGTGAAAGAGTTCGTTTGGGGAAGCACTATCTATTTCTGCCACCAAGCCATTGACCTACCAATAAAATAAATTTCGGTTTTGAAGGGTAAGGGTGCTGTTGAAATTACAGGCAGGACTTGTTAACTTAAGCCTCAGAGTAGCGGACCCAGTGGCAGTGCTCCTCAGATCTTTGTAATTTAAAGCTCTGAATGGCACTGCAAACGTTATGGATAGGCGAGTCGCGTACCACCAGGCGCACGACTTGTCCGTCACGCCTCTTGATGTCATAAAAAAAGACTTTTAGACATCACGACATTCGAAATCGTAGCTATAAATTGTTAAACAAAATGTTTGTACCGTAGGGAGTATCATCGAAAAATAATTCGAATGAAGTAGAAATCATCAGATATCAAGTGTTGATACCAGTCACCGAGGTTCAGGTCCGAGCCTCGTCTGCTAAGGATATGGACAGTCACTTTTTATGGGAGCTAATACACTTACGAAGTCAACTTCAGAGGCGTTCGGAGAAAGTTTACGTGCTGTCAAACAGGTATATTGCTTTTCAATATAAATATAAATTTCATACATTTTGCAAATTTCATTAAATTTCATTTTGCAATATAAATATAAATTTCATACAATGATTAATGAATAAATCGTTCTTTCAAAGCTAACTTGCACTTTATAGACAGTCTGTTTGTAATGTTAAATGAATTTTGGGTATCGGCTTAACTAAGTTCTTAGTCTACCAATCACTTTAAGACGTTGCCTATTGTTTGAATAATTATAGAGCGTTATTGGAGATTGCAGGGGTCGTATACGTTCCTGATACGCCGCTTACTTCGGTAACCTATTAAGTATGAAATTGGTTATACAGTACGGCCGACTTCCGCAACGCGTTCCTGAAGACAATCCGGCAAATTATTCGAGAGTCTGTGCGCAACATGTCGCTGCCGAACACGGGTCGCCCTGCGCCCCCACCACCCCGCGCGCCCAATACACACACACTCGAACGTCCCAAACATCAGGTAATAACTATTTTGTGAGATTTCTTTCCGTTTCTTCTTAAGGATTCGTTAACTATTTATGTCATTTATTTATTATATTGGGTTTACAGCAAGTTGGGTAACTTGGAATACTTGTTTCAGGTTTTTACGTATATTACGTATATTAAAATTAAAACGTATAGGTCGAAATAAGTTTTATTGACTAATGGGTTTAGAATAATTAACTAAAATGACGAATTCGAAAAAACCTGTTTGAGAAAATTGCGCCTTAATCAAATTTACCCAACGCCATTCAAACTTAAAACATTCCACTATTTAAGTTGTGTGTAACACACAACTTTGAACAATTTTTGGTCACTTTTGGGTGTCTTTGAACCGAGTTAACCTTCGAAAAATCCTTCTTCATTGTTAATTTAACTGTCTTCGGTAAGATTAGAATTTTTTATTTTTGGACTATTTTGAATGAAAATTATAGATCTGAAATTATTTTTTCAGATTTAAATCGCGTGTATTTGTTTTTTCAAACAAACCAACGTTTCGGGCCCTTTACAAGCCCTATGGTCACATTTGACTGAGGTGGTAAAGTCATCAACCAGTTATATCTAATATTTATGCAAACCACCATATTATTTCACTGAAGTTAAAAAAGTTATTAAAAAAATACATTATTTTTAAATTTACAAAGAAACATTCCAATTTATGCTACATTATGTTTTACAAAATATTTTATTGTAACAATATTAATTTGTATTAAGTTGAATTTATTATTATCACTATTTAAATCCGGAAAAATAGTTTCATTTCCTATATGTAAGAATCGCGAAAACTTAAGATGTGACAGATCTGAACAATAATCTACCACTCAATTTGGGATACCATTTACCAATTGCAGCTATCAACGACGGCAACTAACAAAAAGAAACTAAAGCACACACACTTTTCACTCGTTGAGTGCCGCGAACGGAAAATGACGTGTAACCCTTTTTTATATAGATAATATCATTGCGTGTAACTTTCAAAACTTGTTTGAAAACTGTCAATATTATGTCACATTTGATATTTAGAATATTTAGTATTTCAAGTTTCACGCAGTCATTACTTGATCATTTAAAAAAAACTATAAGTTTTTCGAGAGAGAAAAATTGTTTAATCTAATATACTTAATAATAAAAAAAAAACAAGCTTTAATTAGAGGCTGTGGTAACCCGATGGCTTATCCTGGCGCCTCTCAAGCAGAGGCTGTGGGTTCGAGTCCGGTCTCGCACCTCTGAGTTTCTTAAAATTTACCCTGAGCTATTCAGAGAAGGAAAATATCGTGACGAAGCCTACCCATTGAAGAATCTTCACAGCCCTCGGAAAATGTGTGAAGTCCCCAACCCGCATTAGGTAAGGGTGGCAGACTATGGCCTTAAACTCTCGTCTGAGAAGAGACCCGTGCACAGCAGTAGGACGTATAAATGAGTTGATCATGATGATGATGGTGAAGTTATGATTAAGGCCATGACAACTATAAAGCTCCTGTTAAATAAATCCTTTTCAACACGATACATAGAATGCTATAATCATTATCCAATCATCACGACCTTACCTTATCTATTTCTGTAATGTCAGCATTACTGTGCTCCGGTTTTGAAGGGTAAGGGTGGTGGTGCAATTACAGGCTCATGGGACTAGTCAACTTTTGTCTCAGGGTGATAGGCGCAGTGGCAGTGCCCCTGAGATCTTTGGGATTAAAGCTCTAAGTGGCACTGCAACTGTTATGGACAGGTGTGTAGCTTACTATCAGGCGCATGACTTGTTCGTCCCGTCACGTGATATTATAAAAAAAAAGACAAAAATTAAATGCTATAAACTAGTCTCTTTACAAACAAAAAAACTCGATATTGTTTATTATTGTCTTGTGTAAATTATATGTCAATTATTATGATTAGATTTTAATTTTAAGTCATATTTAACATTCGATTACTCAAAATTGCTATTTCGCAACAAACTTTTAAGTTGTACATTTAAAGTTATTTTTATTATGAGCTTGTTCGGTCCGACAGCTGGGTAAATGCCTCTCTCCTCTTTTCCATTGATCCTGGTTTTGAGTAACATTTGGCCGTCCTTTTAAAAAGGAGTCCAAAACATCCCGCCATTGCCGCGTCTCAGTTTTGAGGGCTCATTCAGGGTGCGGGCGCGCGGGTCTTGGCGTCTTCCCTTTCACAGTGCCGAAGCGGCTACGAGGGAGGACCCACACATCGAAATGGCAAACAGACGCTAGACACTAGACCAAGCACTGTGAAAAGTACGTGCGGACCGAGCCAATAGGTCTACCCGCGCCCGCGCCGGCCTGGAGACAAGCGCCGGCGCGCGTGGCCACTTTGAACGCAAGGAGCGTCTTCGTACATTTGATTTACATGCACCCGCGCCCGTCGCCACTCTGATATGGCCTACGTTTTGGAGCTTCCACTCCGTGGTTATCTTCGCCCACAACCCGCTCAACATTTAAAATAAAGTTTCGAAATGTTCACCGCAATAGCAATACCAATACCAAAACATATTATAGCCGTTTTAGGAAACATGAAAACTTATTCTATGAATAAGTATTCTTAGAAATACACTTTCGGCCCAATCTTTAGCGAATATAATATTGATCAAAGTCAGCACGCATTGTAGATACATGACATTTATTAAAGCACATTGGATGAAATTTCCCTCATTTCTACTTTACGCAAACTTCTACATTGTGAACTTAATTAATTCTCTCAAACTCAAAAACAACCTCGGACTCGATTAATTCGCAAACTTAATTATGTTGTGATAAAAAATATCTATATAAAAATAAAATTTTGTTCTAAATTCAAAAGTTTATAATTTACGTACTGAGAGCGTTGTGGTATGACAGATGTGGCGTGTAGCTGTGTGGTACCAAGGGATGCCTCGATGGTTTAGTCATGTAGGAAGAATGAATGTTGGTACGTATCGTCAATCTTATGTGAAATGTGGATGGAAGGATGTGCAGAGGTAAACCTCAGCGCACATAATTGTCTCGATTATATTGAGAATGTCCTTAAAAAAGGCTGAATTAAAATTACTAAGAGCAAACGGGCATGTATGAAGAGACGGATGGGAGTAGAGGAGACAAAGGAGGTTTGTTGCGAACGTAGCAACTGGAGGTCCATGGTCTGTGCCTACCCTCCCTGGTGGGAGACAAGCTTAATGATATGTTTGTATAAGTATGTATTCAAACTCGTTTGTGAATTGTATACCTATATCGTATGGTGAAATTACAGGCACATGGGACTTGTCAACTTATGTCTTAGGTTGACGTATTGCTTGCTATTAATTATTATTATTCTCAATGAAATTAAAATAAGTAATATATACATGTTACCCGTCGACCTCTGAATTGAGCAATCGTTTTCCCCCTAGGCTACCATCGCCATGTTAACATGCGAAGGCTGGTACGATAATATTGCAAAAACTTTTATGAGATGATATTTGAATTCCAAACAGAAGCGATTACTTTTGGATATGTTTACTACGTTAGGTCTCATAACATTATTCTGCCGGTCCTTGTCCACTTGGCTTTACCTTTGGGAGTTGTTACCTCGAGTCTTTGTCGAAAGCCTAGCACACGTAACATGTAACGTAAAAAAAATTACATATGTGCAGCCTAAGTCAAACGCATGAAAGCATGAACCGATTCCATATAAAATCAGATAAGCGCGGGAAACTGCAATATCATTGAAACATTTACGTAAGCACTTGACACTCATAAAGACGGTATTTATTGGAAAAGTTGTCACTCGCATTGCGCATTATTGCGTAGATACTGTACTAAAAAGTTTAAAGTGCTTAGTCGGAAAGTTTGACTGTTCATGTCGTGTGATACCGAGGCTTGTCAATGAATTGAGGCACTTATGTAGATCAGTTTTTGGTGTTGGTTCTACGATTGGTAGATTTAAACATTTTGAGCCATTTATGGTGTGCGTTATTACTATTATTTGCAACTTTGTAATTATTAATATAAAGATCGAACACAAAGAAACATTCCTTCGACCCGACAGGACATGCACCTGTGTCACCGCTGTACCGTAGCGTTCCTCTGCCAACTGAGCTACAGGTCGAGTTAGCAGGTCGACGAATTTCTTCTGTGTCTGTTATACATATTTGTGCTACGTTTTTCGGCTTTCTACGCCGTATTGGTAATTCACACAATAAACTATACTCTGTCCAACCATTTTTTTAACTTTTGACAGAATGACTCGAATTCTAATCAATTAGTGATGTCATATTCCATTTCCGCATTTCCGATTCGATTTTTTATAACAATCGATTTTATTTATGAAAAAGTTTTAATCGTGCCCGGTTCAAAAAAGAAGATATTGTCTGACTGGGATCGTGATGGTGCGTTTGACTATTTGTGTACTCAAGAATTAATAAATTAATGTTATTGAGGATTCGAGCAATGTTATTGTTCATATGGAAAAGAATCTGACGATTCATTATAATAAACAGTAAGAATTTATTGCAATTATTCATAATTTATTTAATTTCCTTATAATTTATTAGACAGGTACCAAAATTTATCAATTTGAATAATCTTCGTTACATAATCTGCTCGATAAATATCGGAGCCAAAGAACACGTCGCTCCACTAAAATTCAAAAGTAAAAGAGTCCAGGAAGTATTGCATTTTTTGTCTATGGTTGTATGTCAATAATTACGGAACTTCGGAGGCATGCGTATGTCAAAAATCCAATCAATGGTTGGACGGAGTATAGTGGAGTTATTTAAGAAAAATTAAATTAAAAAGTCAATAAATCACGTCAAACTTTTACTTAATATAAAGGATTTTGAATAAATCTTTATTTTACTAAAACTTAATCATTTTAGGACGTTTATACTAAAAATTATCCTTTTAATTACAGGTACATGTAATGCAAGGGTCACAAACTCTCGGTAAGACCAAGAAGCCCAGAATTTCAGGACAAAGGCTATCGGCAGGAAATATCGTAGTAAGCATATTATTTTTCTTATTTCATTTATATATAATTTTATCTAACAAATCAGTGCTTTAAACTTAGCTGAGAATAAACGAATCTCATTCATTCAGAAAATCTGAAAACAGTTAAGGGCCGGTCCTACTGAAACTCACATTTTTGGCGAAACTTATTTGTGTTCCCATTAACAGAGATTCTTGTTACTTTAACATTTGTCTATTAGTATTTCATTAATTACACTTGTAACACTAATAAAAATGGAAGTAAATTTATTTGCAAACTATCAACAACTCATGGGATGTCTCGGAAAAATGAGTGTCGGGTATCTATAATTTTGGTGGCGGTGTTTGTGAATAGTCACAAACACCACCTAAAAAATATAATAACACAAGCGCAACTCTATAGTTGCGCTTGTGTTATTATATTTTTTTATATTTTTAATTTTTGCGGGAGAGTGAGAAAATTAACTGGTCGGAAAAAAACTCAATACAATGTAAGGTATATTGTATGATTTACTTCCATATTTGTTAATAATAATTTCCACAAACTGACACCTGAATCTATTAATTATTTGTAACAAGAATGTTGTTTATCAAAAAGTAATGGATAGCTGGATGTATAATATTGAGAGAATTTTACATATCTGACAATGATATAAAGCGCTTAGTTGAGGTTATAATTATATATTTATTAAATGCTTGTAGGTGGGAGATTTGTCTCGCGAGAACTCCCAGGATGCAGACGAACCACCGCCCGAAGCAATTGGCGAGCCTGCCTTCCGGCACAGGAGTAAGACCCTCGGAGACACGGCTGGTTAGTTGTCCAAATTGATTCAAACCTTGGCAGACTACTATTATTGCCAAAGAGTACTTTACCGGGCATGTACCGAACGACGGTAGTATAACAACTTATTAACTGTACTGGAAAAAATTAACAAAATAAATTGTTTGTGTGTGCGTGTTAAATTGTGAATATTTTAATAACGGTAGTATGTGGGACTAAATAGCGACTAACACGATGCTTCTATGTGCAAATTCAATACAGAAACTAACGCTAAACGAGCGCCACCGCCGCCGCCCCCGGACACTGACAAATCCGACCCTGGCTCCAAATCTGAGGGCGAAGATGAGCCGCCCCAGCCGCCGGCGAGCAAGCGAGGGTTAGGCAGAACTCCCAACCACCTCACTCTAAGGTACCAACATATGTATGGGTTAATATCACAGACAACACCGTACCTACATCATTCTGAATTAGCACCAGACTCTGCACACTCTGGCACTCTTCAGTCCAAAACAACCAAAATAAATATTAGTAGGTTTTCTTGTTTTCACTCATACATATGTCACCCAGCAATTCCAAAAATATTTCTAATTGTAGGGTAACATTAATGTTTTTTATATTACTTTACAGCACGACCTCCACCCTCAGCGCGGGCAGCACGGGCAGTCAAGCCAGGCTCATCCAATCGTCGCACCAGCCGACTCAGTACCAGCCCACTATGGTCAAGGAGCTAGGTAAGCAGGAATCACAATCACTTAAATCGTCTCCGGAAAGGAAATCCTCAATGAGTTCCGAGAAAAAGATCAAGGTCATTCGTTCCTGCAGCGGCAGCAGTATCAACAGGGACAAATCGCCCAATCGCTACTCCGACGCCTCGCCCGATCGCGACCGCGTCACCAAAGTCATTGTTTGCAAATCACCAAATAAATCAAGCATGAAACAAAATAAAACATTACATCGTTCTCCTCGCGGCAGTTTCGATCACTCTAAATCTCCGCGTGGATCTCTCGATAAATCTCGTTCACCGCAGCAAAGTTTTGATGGCTCCAGATCACCCCGAAGCGGCATAATGAAATCACGTGAAAATAGCATGGATAGATCGCGCTCCCCTAAACCAGCACCAAAGAAAGGCATAATGCGTACACCTCAGGCCAGTTTCGACAGGTCTCCAAATAAATCGCCGAATGTTAGCCGCCGTTCATCTAAATGCAGTGGCGAGAAACTTGCACGACTCGGAACCAACTCACTGGATAGAATGACGCACTATTCGCAACTTGCCAAAGCAGAAGACAAAGCTATTAAAATGGGCATCGTTGTGTCAAAATCCACTGAGTCTATCGTTAAATCTATGGAGCACCCGACTTGCGTACAATGTTACCTCTCGGGGAAAAAGCAGAGTAAAACCACCTAGCATAGGGGAAGGGGGAAGTCCCCCAAAACACGGAGGAAGTATCTTACTTCCCAGTCTGTTCTGACGTCGTCCGAGCGCAGCAGTATCGAAACGTTGGAAGACGAACGCGGTTACTACTCTGTCGCACGAAAACACGAAAAAAGCGAATTTGATCAAATACACGTCTAAAATGACCTACCACGACTTACGACAACATAAAAACAAACACCTTTTATTACGTTTACAGAGTCATTTATTTACACATTTTTTAAATACTTTATTATTATAAAACGATCGTGTGTCGACTGGGCATTGCATAAGCAAAATTGGAATTGATTAATTATGCAGAAGATGGACCATTATAAATTAATGATTTATTTTCTAATGAAGTTATTTATGTAGTTAAATCTCCTACTTGCATAATTTCCTGTGTTGATTGATAGTCGTATACGTTTACAATACTTTTAAGTTTAATATTATCTGATAATTGCTATGGATATATGGACTTGAATTTACAACATACCTGATTTTAAACTGCGTTGCGGTAAGAATATAGAGACAACATTTAAAACATGTATACGCAGTATTTCGTATATAAATAATTGTTTACCCCATTTTTCAATCATTCTTGAATCTAGTACCCTATATAGTGAGTAGGTACTACCTACATAGGGTAATTATTATATACCTGATAATACGTAGATCATATTATATAGTTAGGTAAAGTAAACAGCAACAATATTAAGCATATTCAATTTAATTAAAACTCAAATTCTAGTTGTAACTCCAAGTGCTAAGAGTTATATTATAATAATGGCTGTGGAATTGTACTGATGTTACTTAATCACTTTCGTCATAGTCTCTCTCTGCCTTATGTTAATTTCGACTATTATACATCCAAATAAATTAATATAATATTTATTATTATGTAGAGCCATGGATTTGTACCATTAATTAATCATTAATCGTAAGTCTTCCATTTCGAAATACCTGTAATTGATACAGCTAATTAATTTAATTTCGAAGTTTATTGTTTACCAGCTCAAATTTAGTGTTAAGTTCTGTTCACTGTGGGGAGTTTAGGTAGTAGTGTAAACGTACCTTAATGCGTGTATCTTATTGGAAATCCAGTGTATGAGAATGGTTTAGTTCGCAAGAAGACAACTGGTTCAAGGAGGGATTAAAAGTTGTTTATTTACTTAAACGTTTTGATAAATTTAATCAGAGAAATTGTCTATATATTGGTATTTAATATTTGCGAACTGTTGAATCGAATACGGGTTAACATGTAAAATTTTATTTAAAAAATGCGTTAAAAAATAATTTTTTGTTTTCAATTTATAAACTGTGTTGTAAATTAACAATGTTAAAAATAATGTATATTTTTGCGAACTAAAATATTCTCAAAAGCTTACCTATCGTAAGTAGGCAGATTCTCTGCAACCGTAACTACTACAATTAGAATTTAAAAAAATCTGTGTCATGTCAATCTATTATACAATCTATATACAATATAAATAATTTAAATTATTACGCTAAATCGTTTTAAAATAGGCTAAACATGAAATAACATTATAACTATGAATATTCAATCAATTAGGCAATACATTATTTGTTCACGTAGCGCTTACTTAGCCTTGCACGGACTCTCTATGTCTTAGATGATGCACTTACCACCCAGAATATTGTCGTGGGCATCCTGCGTGCAGTACGCTCCCCCAAATTCCTGAATTCGGTGCACCTTAGATCTTAGGTAGTGGCAGTATTAGGCTCTATTAATGGATGAAATAAAGTAGGTAATATTTATCCATAAAGCAAACAACGTTTTGACGATTAATTTACTTATTTGAATGTTCGATGACAATGTTGACCGGCGTAGAACTTCGATTTCATCTTTCATATGCGCTAAGCCTATTTCATTCCTATCTTCCTCTTCCTCGAGTCTGAGCGAAATTTCGCTTAGTTTCGGTCGCTGTTTACACCATTTGTCCACTTGCAAATCAGTTGACTGTATTTTTGCATATTTAGTTTGCTTGAACATTTCCACTGTTGAAACCTGACGAACACGGCAGGTTCATAGCCACATAGCAAAAAATGACTATTGCAAGTGGACATATGGCCCAACAGGGCGTCGAACCTACGACAACATTCATCAAACATTCAACTCTTTGAGTGCGCGAAGTTCAAACGATCGGTGCATTGCGTTTCTAAATTTGTTAGTCGCACGTTCGCGACCTGGATGTAATTTATAAAGAGTTTGGTGTTTGGTGTGTTGTAGGATCGCCCGTGTGGAAACCGCGCGACATGTTGAGTGAGACGGGTGCGGCATCGGGCACAGGCGTGGGTGGCGGTCCTCCCGCACCCACCACGCTACCGCGCTCGCAGCGTCCTGCGCCACGCGCTCAACACCTCTCTGCCAGCCGCAAGTCGCTCGCGCCGGACCACCGTCACTAGTCCCCTAGCCTCATTTGGCCTCAGCGGCCTTACTCCCGGCCCGCCTTGACTCCTTACTATGAACACGCTCTGTGTTTTCCAACCAGACGTGTTTGTCTCGGATCAACCTTACACGCTGCCCCATCACACCCTGTTTGCCATAGAGCAAACCGAGTGCTGTGAAATGCAATCCTGATTTTTCCTGTAACCCAGTGCATTCTCGACTATATTCGCTCTCTGTTTATGAATTGCACGAATGTATTTATTATCTTATCAATCCTAACGGTGTGAATCTTTCCCGTGTCACATTAATTATCTCATTATCGATTTAGGGTGTTTGCGATTGATGGCTTTGTAGAGCATAAAAATCAAATGCATTGTGTGGTTCGGACAATTTCAAAATAATCCTTAAGAGATGCGGTATGCAGTAACGACATTTATTACGACCTATTCTATGCTCTTCCAGATTCGGCATGAATGCCTTCCTTTCATTGGTGTGGTATGACCATTATATCTATGCAAAATGATTGACCAACGTCTGCATTAACTTAACACTTAAATAAGTGAACGGTTAATCAATCGCATTGTGTAAAAAAGTACTTAATGCGCCTAAAAGTTTGTACCTTACGTTTATAAAAATAAAGCAGCTTTACTTAAGAGTTTCGTTTGTTATTATTTAATGCCATACAAGTTAAATTTATTTCGGGGTGTTTACATCTTTATAAAATTAATAAGACTGCACTCGGCTCTTGTGTGAAGTATATACCTAATGGCATTAAGAGTTTGACAGTTGTATTACGAAGTCACCATAATTGTATATTATATAGGACTGTTATGTTATATTTGTACTCGGGAGATAAATAAATTGTGCCACTGTGCGATATTGCACCTCCATACTTCCTCAGATACTCAAATGTTTTGTTAACATCACGTGTTGATAACTGTACTTAACTCATATAGACTAAGTTTTATTTGTATTAGAGTTACACTGGCACCCCAATGTCGGTTTACCTTATAGTAACAAATTAATGACAATATCAAAAGGAAATCGAATCATAATTGATTATGCCAATGAATATTGAAAAAGACTTACAAGAATTATGTTTTCCTGGTACACATCTGTATCTTTCTTGTTGTTTTATGCAAAGTCGATGACTAAAATTGTAATGTATTTAATTGATCTACGTAATTAAACTATCGACTAAGAGCTATGATAAAAATACTGAACATAACGTTGTAGATACAGACGTTGACCTTAAAACAGGAAAAAATGTTGTGTTTTATATATATACATATGTATATTATATGTCTATATATATATATATATATATTACATTAAGGAACTTCCAATGTTCTTTCTGCGACATTTTCTTCGACTTTATTTTCCAAACGACTCTGAAAAGACTATTTCTAACTTGACTTTTGTGCCAAATTAGGTACTTTGAATGTACGCTTGTTTAATAGTCACAGTGAAGATAACTGAAATATGATGTATCATGAAGTAGCTAGCTGTAATGTATTTGCGTTTTATTTCATAATGTCGGCGACGCAACACTTACTACCCTATAGTTCAAAATGCACTCACTCTATGGAAAAGTACACTAGGTAGTTTTGATAATAATTTCTCTTCGTGATCAAATTCGAAAGTACTATCATAGGCTAGGCGAATGATGTAACATGTATTCTACACGTTTAAGTTTTTTATAATTTACGAAAAGTGAAATAGGGAATAATGTGATTATTATGTTGTATTATAGTGTAAATCTGTTGTATGGAATCAGAGTTCGTCCGTAAGCTGATCGATATCATGTAGGTCTCTGAAGGTGCTCTGTTGACGATGGCATCCGTTGGACTTGATATGAAATTCATTTCATCTTTTAATTGAACAGATCAGATAACATAAATGTGACTGTATAGGGAATTCAAACACCTTATAAAAAGTACAATTGAAGTAAAAAAGCCAGAAAGAATTTCATCTTTGAACATATCACCGGTGATAGCATTTCGTTCAGCTTACGGACAACCCCATGATCTCATAATGCTTTAATTTTAATTACCTGGTTTACAGTAACCCGGATATAAAATATGTATTATAATATTACGTAGGTATTATCTAATTTATTATTATAGTGACCGCACATACACTATATACTTTGATCTTTATCTATGGTTTAAAATATTGTTTTGTGATTTATTGAAATAAAACCTGTTTATTAATATACATATGTTAAAATATTCGAATTTAATAATTACGAACTTATACAATCAATTTATAGATATTATTATACTAAGAAAATATAATTAATAAAATGAATAAACAAATATGGTGAAAAATGAAATGAAGGATGAGCTCATTAATTGCGATTGTATTTCATACTTCAATAACATTTGAAAGTAATGTAGGGAAATGAATGAATATTTAGAAAGACTTATTGAGATAAAATACGAAGGTAACTCACGTTATAATAAGTACTCAACTTTTATAATTTGACGTTGTATAGTTTGCGAGTTATATTTACGTTTATTTAGGTTACGTTCAAAGAAATGTATTATAGTGAATTAAAAGTTTTCTGTACACTTGAGCAGGCTATTATGAACTACTTGATAATATTTGCAGTGTTATCGAGTAATATAAGACAGGCATAGTTGTCATATGTGCCGACAAAAGACTTCTTGAAAAAGATTAATATAGATTTCACCTGGGGAAGGATGTGCGTCTTAAAAACCATACTAAATATTTTGACTTGTTTGAAATCATATAAAGTGGAAAAAAACTAGATTTTTGTTCTAAATTCGACGGTTGCTTATTTCCAAAAGATGCCTAAATTGTAAGTGCCTTCACATATTTTGGGAAACAGGAGATACGTTTACTTTCCAAAATAGTGTGACCCTGCAAACATTGTCGAAGTGGTTCGTAAATAACCATAGATCGAAAATTACTGAACATATAAACCTTTAGTGGCTTCCAACATGTTTAGTCTAATTTTACAATGATGTATTTATTCCCGTTATTTTACCTATTAACTATCGATACGTTAAATTTTGTGACACTTACTGAAATTACTTTTTATTGCTTATGAATAAATATTAAAATATACCAGTGTTTTTTTTATATCTATTAATTTTATTGACTTTTACCCTGTTTTATACTTACGCCAAGTTAATGAGTATGAGAAGAATTACGCACGCACGCACACATACACATACTCACAAACACGCGCGTACAATATGTACATAGACACACGCGCGCGCGCACTTTATTCCCGTCGTTTTATATTAGTCGCGTAGCAAAACGTATTGCAGTAATAACTAATAACTTTTTTAGCGGGCAATACATTGATTTTAGTGTAAAGCACAGGTTTTCTGAGCAAGTACTGATTTTCAGCCAGAACCTCCCTAGTATGAATCTTGCGATACTATGCTTAAACAATATTGATTCAACAATATAATTAAACAAAAAGCCGCCCTGTGGCAAGATGGGCGGACGACCTGAGAAAAGTGGCCAGCAGCGGGGGAATGCGGGCGGCACAAAACCTGGAAAGTTAGTATGCTCAGAGAGGAGACTTATATCCAGCAGTGGATGCATGTAAGTGATGATTAAACAAAATCATTGTCACGGCTATAACACCTTCCATTATATAAATATATACATACACATTTATTGCATTTTTAAATATTTATAAGTCTCACTGACGCTGCGAAGGTAAACAAAATACCACATAGTACAAACCGATTTTGGTATTTATGATATCGCTCGACATCGTGTTGACAAACTGATTATTATAACTTTTTACAAAATTATAAAAAAAACCGACTTTAAAAGTTTTATTAAAATCGGTTACTGGAAAGTGCGTGAACTCGGATTCATCACCTGGTTTGACCCCTTAAAGGTGGAATATTGTCTACAAATTTAAATGGGACCAATACTGAGATATCGTCTTTCTAAAAGAAATTAAGCATAAAAAATATATATATACAGTCGAATTGAGAACCTCCTCCTTTTTTTCAAGTCGGTTAAAAAGTTAAAAGTTATATATAGTAAAGCAACAAATGTTATTTAAATACAGCTTGAGAATACTATGATGAACACTCATTTTTTTTAATATTATAATATCTTTACAATAACAATATGATAACCCTGCACTCCGAGGAAATTAGGCATTGATGTGTCGAATAGGCGGAGGGTTACTTGTCTATGGTTTAAGCATTTAGATAATCACAATGCTCTATAAAATAAATTTACCTTGACCTCAAAAGTTTGCTTATCCGCTTTCGTTGTGGTCGTTACCGCGGTCTCCTCAATTACAACTGAAACGCATGTGGTTTCTTACTTCAGTAACCCAATCCTGTGTCGGAGTGGCATCAGCTTTAATAAACACTAGAGAAAAGACACAGTATGGAAAATATAACATTACAGCTGAGACTAAGCCGTTTGCACAAAGCAGAGACATTAAAAAGTAGTCTTGAAACCCAATTACAAGACAACGATAAACTAATAGTTTGTGTAGGCTATGACTTGAAAAGTTTAATTTCTCAGTTATGTGACTTGATTGAAAAATTTCCTAATAATATTATAATTTTCTTGAATGTTTTTAAAAATAATTTTACCAATGTTTACCAATTAAATAATAGTATTAGAAACCTTTGCAACAAATACAAACATTGTCGGTTTGTTGAATGCGAACACTATACCCTATTTGACATTTGTAAATCAATCAACTATGTCATAGACTGCGAGGATTATAATCGTAAATATTTAAACTTATAAGGAAATAAGGAAAATGATGGCAAGTAATCGACTACACTCTGGAATAAGTAACAAAAGACATCAGAAAGGTACCGTACTACTTTTCACGCATTAAAACTAACTCTGATACAAGCCCTACAAAATAACAGAATGACAAAAGTACAAAAAATGCCAAAAAGAGTACGATACCATTCTATTTCCAAGTATTAGATAAGAAGAATCTTTTTCGTACATAAGAGTGCTGAACAGCTAACATCACATTTTAGAATAATTCATCAAAATATTAATAGTGTTTTGACAAAGCAAGCATTATTAGAATTAACGCTAATAGACTTACGATAGCAAAATATAAATCCAGACATAATATGTTTATCTGAAACATTTTGAAGTTCAGACCAAGTTAATTACTTAAAAATTCAGGATTATAGTCTGGCTGCAACTTTTTGCCGAGACGCACGAAGGGGAGGAACTTGTATCTTAGTAAAACAGGGCACAGTATATAACGAATTAGTTTTCATAAAAAATATGGCAATTCAAATGTTATTTGAAGTATGCGGAATAGAAATCCCAGTACACAGACTTATTATTATATGCGGGTACAAAAACCCTCCTTCAGATTCATCTCTTTTATTGTATAAGTTAGACTGTTAATTACATGAAATATATAAAAAGTATAATATA